TCAAAAGTGAGAGGCGTGCAGGGCCACAGGACAAAAACAAGTTAGGATGATTAAAAATGGCAGAAAGGCAAGGCTTTTTATGTTAATGCATGAAGTGTTCAGAATAAGGTAGATGAACTGGCTACACAAATCAAGGAAAATGGATTTGATCTCTTCACCATTACAGAGCCATTACAGGGAGATCAGAACTGGGAACTTAACATTCAGGGATATCTGACCTTGCAGAAAAATAGGAACGAAGGAAAAGGTGGTTGTGTATCACTGTTAATAAGGGATGAAATGAGGAAATTTGTAAGAGATGATTCCGGCTTGGATGATGTTGAATCCATTTGGGTGGAGATAAAAAAAGGGAAAGAAGACCTGCATAGAAATATTATATAGAGTCCCAAACAGTAGCCACACAAATAATAGAAGCATATAAAAATAAAAGAGCATATTGATTGGATTAATCAAGTTGAAAAAGGTAGCTACCACAACAAATTCATTGATTGCCTTTGGGGTAATTTCCTAGAGCAATATGTCATCGAGCTATGGAATAGGCTACCTTGGATCTGGTATTGGTTATGAGGCAGGTTTAATAAATGACCTGAGATTAAAAGATCCCCTAGGGAATAGTGATCATAACATGATAGAATTTAATATTCAGATTGAGAGAGAGAAACTTGGGTCAAAAATAACTGTCTAATTTAAATAAGGGGCATTACAATGAAATGAGGATAAATTTAGATAAAGTGGACTAAACAGGCAGGAAAGACAGTAAGGAAGTAATGGCAGACATTTATGGAGGTGATTTATGATACTCAGTAAAATATATCCCACTAAGGAGAGAGTGGCGACCCAAGAAAGTTAAGGAGAGTATTAAATTGAAAGAAAAAGCATATAAGGAAGCAAAAGTCAGTGATAGCCCTAAAAACTGGCACAAATTCAAATTCCAGGAAAGGAGGACTAAAAATATGATAAAGAGAGAAAATAAACTATAAGGGTAAATTAGTGAGGAATATAAAATCTCACAATAAGAGCTTCTTTAAGTATATAAAAATTAAGACAGAAGTCAAAGTGAACATAGGCTCCTTAAGAAAATGAATTCAGTGAGATGGTTTTGGAGAACAAGGAAATGGCAGAGGAGCTAAATAGATATTTTGCATCAGTCTTTAAAGTAGTAGATACTTTGAACATTCCAAGGAATTGAGTACCATCACCATCATCAAAGAAGTATTATTAGACAAACTAATGGGACTAAAGGCAAGTAAGTCCTTGCCCTGATGGCTTTTATGCTAGGATCCTCAAAGAAGTAGCTATAGTGGTAGTGGATGCATTGGTTACCATCTTCTAAAAATTCTTGAATTCTGGAAAAATACCAGAGGATTGGAAAACGGCCAATGTGACATCCATATTCAAAAGGGAGGAGACAAAGAGTGGGTAATTATGGGCTGATTAGCCTAACATGTATTGTTGAAAAGATGTTGGAATCAATTATTAAAGAAATAATAGCAAAGCATGTGGAAAATTCTAATTTAATGAGCAGACTCAGCTTCACTTCATGAAAGTAAAATCTGACTAATTGGTTAGTTTCAATTAGCGGATACAAAAGAACCAGTAGATGGTTTGTGTTTCGATTTCCAGAAAGCATTCAACAAGGTACCTCATAAAAGGTTAAGTGATAAGATAAGGGCCCACAGTGTTTGAAGCAGTATATTGGCCTGGATGGAGAATTGGCTAATGGGCGGGAAACAGTAGTGGGGATAAGTTGTTTTTATCAGGTTGGTGACCTTTAACCAGTGAGGTTCCACAGGGTTCAGCGCTGGGACCACAAATGTTTCCGACATATACCAATGACTTGGAGGAAGGAGGAGAAAGTACTATAGCCAAATTTACAGACAACATAAGAATAGATGAAAAGGCAAGTTGCAAACAGTTTACAGAGAGATATTGATAGGTTAATTAAGTGGGCAAAAATTTGGAAGGTACAGTATAATCTGGGAAAATGTGAAGTTGTTCATTTGGATCAGAGAACAAAAGAACAGTATTATTTAAATGGAGAAAAACTGCAGAAAGCTGCAACATAAAGAGACTTGAGGTACTTGTGCATAAACACAGAAAGCTAACACACTGGTTCAGCAGGTAATCAGGAAGGTGAATGGTATGTTGACCCTTATTTCAAGGGGCTTGGAGTACAAGAGTAGGGAAGTCTGACGCAACTGTACAAGGTTTTGGTGAGGCCACATCTGGGGTATTATGAGCAATAATGGTCCCCTTATTTAAAGAAATATATTGTTTCATCAGAGGCAATTCCGAGGAGGTTCACTCAGATGATCCCTGAGATGGAGGAATTGTCTTGTGAGCAAAGGCTGAACGGGTTGGTGCTCATTGGAATGTTTAATGAGAGATGATCTAACTGAAACATATGGGATTCTTAAGATGCATGACAGGGTACATACTGAGAGGATGTTTTCCCTTGTGGAAGACCAGAGGGCATAGTCTCAGAATAAAGGGACATCAATTTAAGAATGAGATGAGGAGGAATTTATTTTCACAGAGGATTATGTGTCTTTGAACTCCTTGCTAGAGAGAGCTGTGGAGGTGGGTCAGAGGGTTGATGCAGAGTCCTTGTGTACATTTAAGGCTACGATGGTTAGATAGCTTCTTGATCAATAGGTGAAGCAATGGTTACGGGGAAAGGGCAGGAAAGTCGGGGCAAGTAATGTCGGATCAGCCATGATCCTATTGAATGGCAGAGCAGACTTGAGGGGCCAAGCGGACTACACCTGTTCCTATGTCTTGTGGTAATAATCGTATTATTACCTATTGGCAACTTCCTGCTTTTCCCCCATATCCATATGGATTATTTCTGTTTTAATATTCATCCAACAGCCTCTTGAATGTTTCAGTTGAACCTGCCTCCATCACATTTCCAGGCAGTGCATTCCAGGCTGTAACTGTTATGTGTGTAAAAGTTGTTTTCTCTCATTATGCTGCTTTTGCAATTCTCTTTAAATCTGAGCCCCGCGATTCTTGATCCTTTCAAAACAGGTACAGTTTCCCTCTATCTACTCTATCCAGCTCATGATTTTGAAAACCGCTGTCAGATCTCCTCTCAGCCTTCTTCCCTTCAATGATAGCAGTCCCAACTTCTTCAATCTATTCTCATAACTGAAATTTCGTGTCCCTAGGACCATTCTTGTAAATCTTTCTGCAATCTCCCCAGTGTGGTCACATCCTTCCTATAATGTGGCGCACGGAACTATACACAATACTGCACAGCTGAGGGCTAACAAATGTCTTGTAAAAGTTCAACATCATCTGTATGCTCTTATACTTTATGACCAAACTTCAGTGCAACTAAAGTATAATTTGCTCCCATTTGTACTCCGGCAGCCAATGGGCTAAAAGCCAAATTCGAGCCTTTTTCATTACTTTTCATTTCCGTGTGGCAGCTTTTAGGGATTTATACATGGAAATAACTAAATCTCTTTGTTCCTCCACAACATTTAGTCTCTTATCTTTAAAAATATTGAAAGACAATTTAAAGCCTCATGAATTATGCACCAAAGAGGAGTTGGGTCAAGGTGAAAACTTAGATCGGCACTGTTAAACAACAAAAGCAGAAATCTGGTAGAATGGATGGGAAATCTAGGAGTGAGACTATTTTAATTTCAGGAGGCCTTTAGAGGATGGTTAGCTTTTTGAAATGGGAAATAGACAGGACCCATCCACAACCAGCAACCAGAAACAGAAATTCTTTGATGTACAAAGAAGGCAGCTTGAACATGTTTAATTTAACTTTTCATTCATTTTCTTACATGGAGGGGTTTTGAAAAATGTGGGAAACATGCATAGCACTAACATTTATTTGGCAGAAGACCTGCAATAAAACATGAGAAATATTCACATGTTTTTTCTATTATTAAGTGATGGCAAGTTCCATGGGGATTTTCCCAGTCTTAACATTGATATCAGTAGCACTCGGTCTCTGAGTCACAAGTTCTGGGGGTTCAAGTTGATCTCTCGGGATAGAGCACAAAATCATGCCTGATGCTCCAGCTCTGGACTGAGGGAGCACTTCATATTTGGAGACTCCATCTTTTGGATGAGACGTTAAAGCAAGACCCTATCTTTTTGTAAAAAAAGATCCCGAAGAACTATTCTGAAGATAAGCAGAGAAGTTATCCCTGGTGACCTGGCCAATATTTATTGCACAAACGATAGAGCTAAAAAAAAGACTGGTTATTATTACTTTGCTATTTGTGGGTGATAGTTCTGCATAAATTGGCTGCCATGTTTCCTGCATTACAATGGAAACAACTTATTGTTCAAAGGTCCTTAATTGACTCTAAAGCACTTTGCAATGTCCAGTGTTTATGACAAAAAGAGTATATAACTGCAAGCCTTTCTGCATATTTTCTTGTTGATGTTAACATTAATGTTAAACAGCTAATAAAATTGTGCACATAATCATTGGCCCCAATTTCATCTAAAGCCTGTAAAATGGCTCTAGTTCAATTGTATTTCAAAGGTATAACCAAAAGAACTACATCTTCAAACATTTAGACCAGAGTAATGGCATTAATTTTAAATTTAAAAATTAAATACAAAAATGTCCTTATCTTTATATTTGTTTAAATTCTTATGTCCCCCACGTTTTCAATGGAAACTGCTTATTTAAACTTGTCGTTTTGCCATGGGTGCTGAAGAATTGTTTCTGCTGCCAGAAAATTATAAGTACAGTGTGTTAAGTTCACACAGCCAATTTCCATCAACATGATAGACGTAAAAATGTATTAGAGTTGACAGGAAATGTGTGCAGATGTAGGATTATTTTGAACAATTTATTAGTTGAACTCTTGTGGTGTTCCACACATGGAAAAAAGAAGCAACATGGTGTTCAATAAGGGCAGTATGATTAAATAAGACAAAGGATAATGTGTCATTATGGAGTAAGACAGAAATCATACAATACAAATAAGGTCAGGGTTAGGGTAAATAAACAAATGAAAATTGAATAAAACATCAAATTTGAAGGCTCTCATTTAATTGTAAAGTTTTGCATAAAAGGAGTAGACGTACATAAATCTGAAATGCATAATTCAATTAAATGTATAATATTTATATGTGCGTATCACAGTAAAACATCAAATATCGGGTATGTTGCCCCCTCCTCTCATGATGAAGTAAGTTCTGAAAGATGGCATTGCATTGCCAACTGAAATCATCACACCCGTCACCAATAATATAGAAGTCTGGCAATCACCAAATTGGCGGCCGATTTGGCATTTCTAAAAGAAATGCAATTCAAGGCCAGTTCACATCTTACAAAACAATAGAGTTATATTGTACGTTGCCCGTGCCATTTTCCCCGGTTGCAGGTGAAATATGTTTGGAATGACTTACCCCAGACATGAGGAGCCAGTGCAAGGGCAATAGGACAATGGCTGCGTTCAGCAGAAGGATTGACTGATGAAGTTCCAAGAGTTTCCTAATGTTGAAGTGCATTCATTTATCTTTTTCAGCCTGCTGTTGTAGTTAATGACAGGGAACGTGGACAACACATAGGGCTAAATCGAAGCTTACAGACTGCAAGTATTGAACCGGGTTTATCATCAGCCTAGTAGGCACGAGGGAAAGCTTGACCACCCATGAGGAGAAAAGGAGGAGAAAGACTCAGAGGAGGGCAGCTGTGGGCAGATGCACCCTATGTTCCAGCGAGGAGAAGAACCTGCTGCAGTGTAAAAGACTTAAGAAGAAGCAGAGACATCAGAGGGAAGCAGACACAGGTAGTTAAAACCACTTTAATGCCAACAGAGCTAGGCCTTGACTGAGGGCTGCTTATAACCATAGTAAGCTTCTAACCTTTGTGTTTGTGCTAAACAGCAAGGCAATACAGCATTATGAGGCATGATGCAAAAAAGGCATGCCAAGGTAAAGTGAGGCAAGGTGCTGTGCGCATTGAGGTGACATCAAAGTGAGTGAGGACTAAGAGAACAAGTGAACAACCCAGAGAGATGCAGCCTTATCCAATCCACAAGCTGGATGTATATCACTGAACATACAGTGTCCTTGCTTCAGCATAACAATGAGAGTTGCCATTGTGCCTTGAGGTTTGGAAGCATCCAGCCAACAGATCGGAGGGTTCTTAGAGGCTGGCACATTTTGGATGCCAATGTCTACGGATGCGGGATGTGTGTGTGTGTGTGTGTGTGGTTGGTGCCTATGGAGTGGACACTGAGATTTTGGTGTCAAGTGTCCAACATGGAGGTCCTTTGGAGCAAATGGCATGGTGAAACTGCCAGGTATCTGTTCTGGGGTCCATGTGGAGAATTTGTGGCATCTAGTTTGTTTGCAGCAGGTGGTTCAATAGAAAGTTGCAAATTAATAAGGTCAATCTGCATTTAGTATGGCTATTAACTAATGTCCTTTAGGGAAGGAAATCTGCTATCCTTACCTGGTCTGATCTACATGTGACTCCAGATCATAGCAATGTTTTTGCCTCTTAACTGCCTTCTGGGAAATTAGGGATTGGCAAGAAAAGCTAGCCTAGCCAAAAGTGCTCACATCCCATAAGTGAATAAAAAATACAATAATCACCCCTATTAGACAATTCTCCGCTACCATGTGAGAATCTCACCTTCATGCCCAGAACCTAGTTAAAAGATGCAGAGAGTTTCTCTTGACACTGAGGTAGGTCTCACTGGACTTCTTGCATGGTTATGCCACTTCTTTACCGTTGCCCACTTCTTTCAGGCCCCTATAAGATTCTGCTCATTGGCTGTACACATTCACATAATGTTTTGGTGGACATATGACATGACCAGGTTTGGTCCTGATACATTTTTGCTTTACTTGTGGTGTGCCATCTGTCATCATCGATGGATGTGTATCATTTGTCACAGATATGTTATCTGACACGATACCTTCAGTACTGTCCTATGTTGGGTGATGGATGATATGCAGGTTTGTTATGTTGTCTGTTTCTTCCTAGGATTTGACCATTGTCATATGACCTAAGCTGGACACAGGGATGTGATGACTTTCCATGAACTCATGAGCTTGTAGTCCTATGCAATGCCCTGGTTCAAGTTGGAATGATTCCCCATATGGTCATTGGTCATACTCTGATATCATTTTCTCCTTTTGTTCCAATTATGAATGATAAACATAAGGTTGGGTAATGAGAGAGTGGAAGGAAAGAACTGAGTCAATCTCTCCCAAACATCGGAACTGCTGATGAAGATAAACTGTTGCCTAGAGGAATAGCACATAGATTTAAAATTGTTATCCAACATCTTGCAAGTCAGTCTACGTTAAATGATCATGGATTTTATAGTATATAGAGTGTAGTTCATGAGACCATTTGACTGAAGGTAGCGAGGAGAGGAAATTGTATGTTGATCATCCCATTTTCATTCTTGGAAGAAACCATTGTCAGACACAGTTTGTTGAGGCACACCAAACACATTGAATTGGGCAGCCAATGTGTCAACGCCATTGATTCAAACTTTAAGTTGATTTTAAAAACCGGAAAAATGTTGTCAGGAACTTTGAAGTCATTGTCAGAAGTACCGGAGGATTTTATTCTCTCTAACCCTTCAGGTGCAAAGCAAGAAATAGTTTTACTGCCTATCATTCTTTTTCAGCTATCCACTGATCCATTAAGTACAGATTGAATATTTCCTTAAACAACTATCATTCTGATAGAATGTCAAAGGACTGCCAATCCATGACTGAGCCACTTGTTTTCTACATTTCTTTTGGAGCCTTATGCTCTCTATGTACAAGTAGTTCTGCTGTAATGTGTGTTAACACAAATTGGCTGTAACGTGATTGATGAATAGTAGACACTGTTTGGATAATGCAAACTTTCTGCTCTACAGTATAGCGATTTCCCTATAACATGATTTTCTATGATGATTTTCTATAGCGCAAGGTCACACCAGAATGCAACTATCGTGTTATGGGAAAACTACCTGTATATCAGTATAAGAATTTGTATTGCAGGATCATGTTTTTTCTGTTTCTTTTCTTGACTTTTTGTTGCTGCTCCCTTAAAAGGTGCATTTTTGTGCCAGTGTGACATATTGGTGTCTTTTCAAAATCATTATATGCAATTTTGGCAAAGGAAATGGTGAAATCAACTGACATCTGGATGTAGATAAGGTCATCCAATAACAACAAAATGGACTATTATTTAAAAGGCAAAAAATTGCAGCCTGCTGCTGTGCAGAGGGACCTGGGTGTCCTTGTGCATGAATCACAAAAAATTGGTTTGCAGGTACAGAAGGTAATTAAGAAGGCAAATAGAATATTGTCCTTCATTGCTCGAGGGATGGAGTTTAAAAACAGGGAGATTATGCTGCAGCTGTATAAATTGCTGGTGAGGGAGCACCTGGTGTATTGTGTACAGTTTTAGTCTCTTACTTGAGAAAGGACGTACTGGCAGTGGAGGGGGTGCAGAGGAGGTTCACTAGGTTGATTCCGGAGTTGCGAGGGTCAGTTTATGAGGAGAGATTGAGTAGACTGGGTAGACTATTGAGTAGACTATTCTCATTGGAATTTAGAAGAATGAGGGGGGATCTTATAAAAACATGCAAAATAATGAAGGGAATAGATAAGATAGAAGCAGGGAGATTATTTCCAATGGTGGGTGAAACTAGAACTAGAAGACATAGCCTCAAAATAAGGGGGAGCAGATTTAGGAATGAGATAAGGAGGAACTTCTTCTCCCAACGGGTTGTGAATCTATGGAAATCCCTGACTGGTGAAGCAGTTGACACTACCTTGTTGAAAGATTTCAAGGCAAAGATAGATAGAGTTTTGAACAGTAAAGAAATTAAGGGCTATCATGAGCGGGTGGGTAAGTGGAGCTAAGTCCACCATTGGAGCAAGCTTGATGCAAGATGGCCTATCTCTGCTCCCATTTCATTTGTTCTTATGTTCTTTAGCATAGAAAACGATTGTTATCTGTATATTATTCCAGCATCATTTTCTAAGATTAAGGCTGTTCTTCAGCTCGTTTAAACTGTCATTATAGTTTTAAGCCAGGCATCTAACGGGCCTTTTGCAAACTGTGATTTTTTTAAAGAAAGAAAGAGAGAACTATGATACTCAATAAAAACCAAAAGAACTGCGGATGCTGTAAATCAGGAACAAAAACAAAGTTGCTGGAAAAGCTCAGCAGGTCTGGCAGCATCTGTGAAGGTAAAAACAGAGTTAATATTTTGGGTCCGGTGAGCCTTCCTCAGAACTGAAGAAGGAGTTCTGAGGAAGGGTCACAGGACCCGAAACATTAACTCTGTTTTTGCCTTCACGGATGCTGCCAGACCTGCTGAGCTTTTCCAGCAACTTTGTTTTTGAACGGTGATACTCGTTCTGCTTCAGTACAAGTTTACAGCCTTCACTTTTGGTTATAGTGCTTCAAACTTGCAATTAATTATAGCTCTAGCTTTGAACTTTTGTGTTATGATCAGTACCTGGGTGAGTGTAGGGGTTAGAACCAGCTGGACCTTGTTGACTGCAAACTCCTTGATTGAGTTTGTTAACCTGGGCCAATCAGGAAGCCCTGGCTGACCAATATAAAGAAGTGATTTAGAATCTCTTTGGGTCAGGCAACTGATTCTGAGCTGGATGAAAACTTCAACACTGTGGTCTCAGTTGATGTGTAGGGATAACTTAAACTAAAGGATCCTTTCTTTGGAGAATGCACTTCCCAATTCCAATGTACTTGCCTTTCAAAAGGAACCAATTTAACCAGGTTTTCTTCATTCAAAGTTAAAGTGAGTTTATTAGATACGAAAATGTGAGGAAAGGTAAAATGCAGCACACGTACACACAGGTTAGAAAGAGAAGGAATTAAAAATATAACAGTTAAAAATGATGCCAGAATCTGTTTATACGGAGTAGAAAGTGGACCATTGCAGCTGTTAAGTTGGGTGATTCAGGTAGAATTTACTCCAGCAGTTGAGTAGTTGGCTTGTCACCACTGATGGATGGTGGCTCAGTGGTTAGCACTGCTGCCTCACAGTGCCAGAGACCTGGGTTCGGTTCCACCATTGGGTGACTGTCTGTGTGGATCTTACACGTTCTGCCTGTGTACGTATGGATTTCCTCTGGGTGCTCCGGTTTCTTCCCACAGTCCAAAGATATGCAGGTTAGGTGGATTGCTGTTCTAAATTGCCCATAGTGTCTAAGGCTGTGTAGGCTAGGTGGATTAGCCATCAGAAAATACAGGGATTGAGTAGGTGTTATGTTTGGTGGGATGATCTTCAAAGGGTCAATGTGGACTCAATGGATTGATGGACTGCTTCCACTTTGTAGGAATTCTGAGATTAGACAAAATAAGCTGTCTGGTTTTATATTTTTCTGTGGCTTTCAAGTGGTGACTTGCTTACAGCAATCAGACAGGGGGTGAGAGATTTTCAGTCCTGCTTTCATGCAAAGCACGGGAGTCCAGTAGACGTTCTCAGCTGTAACCTTCACAGCACAGTGTAGCCCAGGGACACTAAAACACCAGACTAGTACACAGACACACCAAAGGTACAGTTGATTTATAACCCCTTCTCTTGTATATTTTTGTACTCCTATCAGTAGTTAGGATCTGGGGACGAAAATAAACCAGGGGATAGGAATGGCATGTAAGAAAGGAACTATTACAATAATCATGGGGGCTTCAATACACTGGGCGGGAAAAAGAATTAACTTCCGGTCAAGATGGCAGCGGAGTAGCAGTGCAGAGTGTGGGCTCCCGAGCTTGGAGCTCATCTGCTGCATCTGCTTTTAC